GGGCATTGTGAGTAGGGGGCCTTTTCGTGCTGAAGCAGCAACGATTTGTCCTCCCACAACTCTAGTCTCTTCTCGCGTACTGAGAGAAGCAAACACCGCAGGATCTCTTAGTAGACTAGCCCTCTGGTAAGAATACACTGCGGATGATGCCTCTCACATCGAAGAACGTGAACATTCCCGTTACTTTTCAGACAGACCTCGTACATTAATTACATTGTCAATAAGAAAGTACATTCTGTTTTTGTATTATTATCATTATTATTATTATTATTATTATTATTATCATTATTATTATTATTATTATTATTATTTTCTTTGATTTCTGGCGTTTATACATTTCTTTCCGGGTCCTGCCCAGGGACCTAAGGTTAGAAATGGCATCATGACACTTTCCACTGACAAAAAAAAAATACATAAATAAAGCCCTTCGCAAAGTGTAGGCTGTACTTGTCAGAACACTTTTTTGTATCTCCTTGAGGCATGGACATCCAGGAATCCCTTCAATTAGTCTACTGCAATCTTTTCCAACCTTTCCTAGGGGTCCAACTACAACAGGGATTGTTGATGTTCCCATATGCCACATTTTCGAGATTTCTATTTCAAGGTCGTTGTATTTTGACAACTTTTTGAATATCTTCAAAGATACATTGCAGTCGGCAGGGACTGCCATGTCAATAAGGAGGCACCGTTTTTGTTTGTGGTCTTTAATAACAATATCTGGCCGATTGGCCTTGATTGTTCTGTCAGTGTGTATTGTGTAATCCCATAGAATTGTAACAGGTCCTATCTCCGTAACCGGGTCTTGGTGGTGTTCATACCAGTTTCTTTCAGTTTCCTTCCTGTAGAAGTTGCAGATTTTCCAGTGCAGATATTGGCCCACTCTGTCATGTTGGGTTTTATATTCAGTGGGTGCCAACACCGTGCAACCTGATACAAGATGATCAATCGTTTCTGGATACTTATCACAGAATCTGCATTTTGGGCTGACACAATATTTTAGTATATGTGCTTATTAATTCCTAGTTACTTAAAAAGCACAATTCCTAAGTTAGCAAAGCAAGTTCCTGCGCAGCAAGGATAAAACCTTCAGTTTCCTTTCAACCCCTGCAACTGAATAGCCACTGATGGGTATGGGTTTTGTCTACGTCAGCTTGTTTGGTGCGGGCAGAATATTGGCCATGAAGCGGTTTATCTTGCCATCGCTTCTGTAACTGGTCGGTTGCATTCGTCTTTTTTTATCTTTTTAGGTATTTTGCAGTTTCAGCCGGTGTATTGTGCTGTAGTTGCATCTCTATGCCCATTTGAAACTCCATTTTGAATTTGTTGGCTTCTTTCATTACGGAGTAAAGACGCATACTACTTTCATGTTCCTTGACGCATAGCATCATCCAGTCTTCTGTAGTTTCCAAGTATCTTTGGAGGCCAATTGGTTTTCTGTTCATTATAATGTCTTACCGGATTATTAACTGGTATAAAACAAGGCAGTAACTATATGCGTTCTGTTTGCATAAATTCTACTGTTCAGTGACACTTAATATACGCAGTGTTTGTATTTTCTTTACATTGATAATACTCTCCTGAGTTGATGAACACTCCCACACTCTTGTAAACAGAGGCTACCAGAGATTTTGTTAATATTCTTATCTGAATCCTTCTTGATCATATCTTAACATAGGCATAACAATAATTTTAAGGTACTATTTTTTTTTCAATTGCATTATATTCATATTTACGTACAAAGTTCAAAGGTTTGAAGCCACCCCCAGAATTAGCATGGGATAAATTTGACAAAAGAGTAAAAAAAAAAATGATAAAGAGGTCTTAGATCAATTATCAAACTTATACTTTGAAAAAAAAAATGCAACGAATTACAAATGTGTAATCAAGGATAAAGGAGGATATTTTGACGTAAGCCTCTCATATATATGAGAAGGCATTATATATTTTTTTTATTTGTAGTCATTAATATCTATATCTGATCTATTGGCTTTTTTTAATATCTGTCAGCAGGAATGGCAAAGTCCCAAAGAATAGTAACACCAGAACATTCTATGACAGGTTCATCATATCGCTTATTTAGTTCCACAGGATTTCGCACCTGTCGTAACTCGTAGTTTTAAAGGGATTTTTAAAAAATTTATACACTTGGTAAAAATTATAACTCTGGTGAAAAAAAACCCAAGTATATTTAGCTCGGGACGATGACCAGAGAATGGTCGAAAACACTGGAAGCGACGTCAAGATCTATGAACAAATTTTCTATAGCAGGTGTCGGCAACCTTTCCCTAACTATGTGCCGACTTAGGGTTTTAAAATCATTCAGTGTGCCAACAAGCATACGTATATTTATACAAGTCAAGGTCAATATACCTGTTCTACAATATATTTTATATAGTAATATGTAGTATATATACATTGGTATATATTAAAATTGAAACAGCTAAATATGTTCTTTGTGTTGTAGTAATTGGTTCGGACTTCGTGATGTCATTTGCGGCTGCGTGCCGTTGGAAATTGCTTGGCGTGCCACTTATGGCACGCGTCGCGCAGACTGTCGACCTCTGCTCTATAGTCTTAAATCAAGCATTTGTTCCATTGGATGAAAACATCATTAAAATATATATCAAACAACTAAGTACTCCATGTCTCTTATGTTTAAACACACACACACACACACACACACATATATATATATATATATATATATATATATATTTCTGTAAGTTTCACCAATGTATTGTGAGGAGCAGTTCTGACATATATACACACACACACACACACACACACACACATATATATATATATATATATATATATATATATATATATATATATTTCTGTAAGTTTCACTCAATATATTGTGAGGAGAAGTTCTGACAATTTATTTTTATCTATACCACCTTCAGAATAAGTTTTGTTATGAACATTTTTTGGGTTGTGAGTATATCCATAATAGTTTTGGGCGTGATTGTAATTATTTTGATGTTATTTAGATTGGTTAAATTGCTTTGTATAGCTGATGTTACAGACACTGTAGGCAGTTTTATCAAAATATGAGACAGCGCCCTGGACTTTTTCAAATATCTCCATTGCTGAAAACATTACTACTTTACCAATCCAACACACATGACTATAGAAATGTGAATAGTACTCCATAGCTTGCCTAGACTTTTCGGCTAAGCTAGTGAATATTTATGAGCGCTCTTAAAATATTGATGAACCAATAACATTTTTGCTCTTGTGTATAAATACTTGTTACAAAATAAAATCCTCGCATTTGCATTGATAAAGTCCTTCAGAGGACGAAACGCGTTGGCTACGATGAGTTTCACTTTTGTTTTGTCTTTATTCATATATATAAATATATATATATATATATATATATATATATATATATATATATATATATATATATATATGTTTTGTGTGTGTGTGTGTGTTATATTCTTAATAGCCCACAAGATTATAAGAGCTAAAATGTTTAAAAAATAAAAGTGCACAATGTTAAAACGAATCAATCAAAGACCTGTGTGTGTTTGTGCGTGTGTTAAATAGAGCGGGCAAAGGAGTGGTTTACAAGTATTTTCGAGAGTTTCTCCTGATATCGAATGAATCAGATGTTTGATGTTCGGCAGAAACTTGTAAAAGGACTTGCCGAAGTTCTTTTATATTTATGTTTCGTTAAACAAGACTGACGGCATACTTCGTCTTTAGTTAATAAAAAAAAGTATCTTGTCAGTCTTGTTCAACCAAACATTTATTAAAGACGGATTGCTGCCCAAATACAACTATATATATATATATATATATATATATATATATATATATATATATATATATATATATATGAAATGAAAAAAAAAGGTCGTAAATTAATATTTTGGCAATAATCAATAATAGCACTCTCAAATAAGTTTCTTCTAAGTAAGTTATTTTCGCTTTTAATACGTGTAATATTCTCAATCTCCAGAACGCTACAACTTATATAAAGAAGAAAATGACTTGCTTAAGCGAAATGTTCTTCAGAGTAATTATCAACTATATATATATATATATATATATATATATATATATATATATATATATATATATATATAATCATGGTGTTTTTTGCAGTACGGTGCATCTCAAATTGTAACAGACGTCTATCGTGTAAGAGACATCAACAGAAACTATATAAATATTTTACACATGTTATGTCTGTGTATACATACACATACGCATGCACATATATATGTGTATCTATTTTATATATATATATATATATATATATATATATATATATATGTGTGTGTGTGTGTGTGTGTATATATATATATATATGTGTGTGCGTCTATAATATGTGTGTGTGTCTATATATGTGTATATATGTGTGTGTGTGTATGTATGTATGTATGTATGTATGTATGTGAAAATATCGAACAATTAGAGCTTAACATTTACAAAACTTATCCTAAATTTGTACAAGGCAACAACTGTTTAGTACCTAGTGAGGAACAAACTAACCACTAACCAAGGCCATAGTTTGATGATAAAAGGTTCGTGAGATGAATTATTGTGCTACGGCGATGTAACCGACATTCAGAACTAAATCGCCCAAATGAACATGATTGGGAGCTTGTTTTACGCCAGATTTCTAAGGAGCGGGGACTGGCTGCTTTGAAATTCAATACTAAAACTAAAAAAAATATATATTTTATCCGGGTTTGAACACTGACCTTGCGTCATGTTCCAACTTTGATGTTCCTATCACTCTGTTAAAATAATGTTTTTTATTTATTTATTTATTTTATATTTTGGGGATAATAAAATTCGTGGCGAAAAAGGTTTTCTTTTCGTTTCCTTAGTCTTGGACAAAAAACAAAACTCTGTTATACTAAAAAATAAGTTCTTGTGTGTACAAACTCAAAAATATCGGAGTGACAGACAAAGGAAGAAGGAAAAATAACGAACACGGTATCTATTTTCTTTTCTCCCTCTATCTTAGTATATCTGCCTTTATGCTTCTCTCTCTTTCTCTTATTTATATATTTAGTACTCTTCTCCTTTCGTTTCAGTGCGAGTTACTTGCACAACTAAGAGAAAGAAAGAACGGAGCGGGGAGTATAGAAAAGACTATTCAACGTTAACGCCCAGTTAACTCCTGCCGTAAGTTGGTCCTTAACACAAACAGTAGTCGCTATTAACGACAGATTCAGCCACACGCACACACATAGGTAGTGACATACACCCAAAGAAGAACCTGCGTACACACACGCCCTCTCATGCACACGGACTGGCACAAACATACGTACACATCAGTTGCCCCGCCTTCTGACAGCCAATCAAAAGCGGCGTTTGTCGATTGGTTCTTGAGTGTTTGGCCTTATGCGAGACAAAACGACGAAAACACTTTTTATTTAAACCCCCGACTGTCGTTGTTTTTCTCCTCCCACTTTTACCCATTCCGTCTTCCTCTCCACCCACTTCTTTTCTTTTTCCTTTCTTTCTTTCTTTCTTTCTTTCTTTCTTTCTTTCTTTCTTTCTTTCTTTCTATTTATTTATTTAGTTATTTAATTACATTTTTTGTTGTTAACCGGTTTTGTTTTTCATCTTATTTTTTTTTAACTCTTAAAGCCGGGAAGTGGAAAAAATAAGACGAAATTTGAATAGAAAAATCAATTTTTCTTCGTAAATGATTCGCTTTTTATTTTTATTTTTGTTCTTCATTATTTTAAATTCATGTTTATTGTTTGTTTTATTTTTTAAAAAAAATCCGCTATACATTTTTATTTCAACCTTGTCTTCCTCTCGTCATTTTTTTTTTTTTTACCGACTGCTTTAAGTTTAGGGGCGTTCGAAAGTAATGATAACAATACTACTGATAAAAAAAAAATGGACGAAGCCTATGTTCTGCTGAGTGCGTGTATGTATCTGTGTGTGTATGTATTTGCGCGTGTAGTATTTACGTGTTCCCTGACATGTATGAGGGTTACAGAGAGATCTGGACTATGGTACTGATCTTAGACGATTCATATCTATCTATCTATCTATCTATCTATCTATCTATCTATCTATAGATTCTAAAGTCTGTTGATATCTATCTAATCTAACTTTCTTTCTCAATTCTTTTTATATCTATCTTTCTCAAGTTTGTTGATATCTATTTACCTATGTCAAGTATGTTCATATCTATCTATCTATCTATCTATCTATCTATCTATCTATCTATGTTCATATCTGTGTTTATAGATGCCTACCTTTGTCTGTTCATACATCTCTTAGTCTATTTTAGACTGTTCTTACTTATCTAAAACTATTCATATCTATCTATCTATCTATCTATCTATCTATCTATCTATCTGTCTGTCTGTCTCAAGTCTGTTCATATCTATCTATCTATCTATCTATCTATCTATCTATCTATCTATCCAAATTTCTTTCTCAAGTCTGTTGATATCTATCTACCAATCTCAAGTATGTTCATATCTCTCTAAAGCATGTTCATATCTATCTATCTATCTATCTATCTATCTATCTATCTATCTATCTATCTATCTATCTATCTCAATTCTGTTCATATGTAAGTCTATTCAAACTGTTCTATGTAAGTCTATTCAAAACTTATATATTTTTACATTAATTTATAATTTTTTATTTCATAAGATTTCATTAAAAGTTTATGAACTCGTTCACACACACACACACACACACACACACACACACACACACATAAATATGAGAGAATATGACATAAATGTTTTTATAATAGAACGATGTTAGGAAAATGAATGACAAAAATGGAAGAAAATTATATATATATATATATATATATATATATATATATATATATATATATAACATATTCGAGAAGAACTGAAGAAGTAAAACCAAACATTAAACAGTCAAACCCTGACGGTTGAATTTAACTGAAAGGCATTTACACACGTACACATTTTTATCGAATTAGAAGATAAAAAAAAATGTCATTAAGATATTTTGATCGAAAATCAGATTATTTATAAAATAAAAAGCTACATTAAATTAGGTATTAATTTATTATTAGTGTTTGTTATTTGTGATTCACTTGAAAAACTACGGAGCAAAATTATATACACCCCATATACACTATGCAAACACCTAGAAACACATCAGTTTTATATATATATATATAGAGAGAGAGAGCGGAGAGATCGCACATTGAGTGATTGTGTTAATAAAGTAGTGCTCAATTTAATATAACGGAGCTATTAAGTAGATATTAAAAAATATATTTTTCCTCACACGGAGTTTCATTCACAATGCAAACTTCAGGTGCTGAGTAGAAAATTATGTACCGGTCAAGTCTTTTCACACCACCTGACTGTTGCGATGTTTAGAAATATATATATATATATATATATGTATATATATATATAGTGTTAGGTAAATGAGATAACTAGATATTAGCGACTGTATACGCGCGTGTTTGCTTGCATGCGCTGGTAAGCAAATAAATAATTACCAAATTTAGCTAAGAGGTGTAAACATAATAGTGTTCAATGTGATTAAACAGAGCTAAAAAAACATACATATATATATATATATGTGTGTGTAGGTAGGTAGGTAAGTGTGTATGTGAATGGATATCTATATCTACTAATATACGCATACATATATAATATTCATAAGTGTGTGCTTATCTATACACAAAAATACACACATCTCTCTCTTGATATATATATATATATATATATATATATATATATATATATTCATCTACATGCTGCACATTCCCAACTTCTCAAGGCACCCAGTAATTTATATATATATATTGCTAACAAAAACATCAACTATATAAAATTCCAAGTTCATATACCAATTCAAGTGTCTGTTAGAGGACTATACCCAATCATAATAGAAAGGTATCTATATACCTTCGTCTTACCACCACATCACTTTCTCACCGGTCTACTTTCCATCTTTCTAAAGTGCAATTTGCCGTCACATTAAATGCCCCGTCGTACTTTTGTTTCAAATTTCCCAACGTCTGTAAAAACATTTCCCTGATCTTCAAATTTTTATTCTTGTTTGATTCTGACATCTCCAATTTGTATCTTGAATCTTGGACTGATCCCCTTGCTAACGACCTTATATCCTCTCTTCTCATCATCTGTCCTTTTTCAGCCCGGCTTGTGCAGCAATTTCCGGCGAAGTACATTTCCCCAGATCCGGCGGCCGCCATATTCCTCTGATCTCACTCCTTGTGACTTTTAACTCGTTTCTAAAAATCAAATCCTTCTTGAAAAGAACAAAATTTCAAGACGTCGAGGAAATCCAAGAGAAAGCGACGAGACGGCTTTTCGCTAACCCAGGAGTTTCAGGAATGCTTACATTAGTGTAAAGAACGCTGGATAAAGTGTGTACATTCAGAAGGGGACTACTTCAAAGGAGATTCAATGTTGAATTGATATGTTGTAGTTTTTTTTTTTGTTTTTTTTTTATAGCACTAGTCCTGATACTTTTTGATCAGGCCTCGTGCATCGTTATTTTTATTGTGTTGTGACATTTGTCATATCATTGTGTGTTTTTTTTTTTTGAATTTTCGAAATTGGCTTATTTAGGAAGGAGGAAAATATATAATATTTTCAATCGATTATACATATTCTTTTATTTCAAGGAAGAAGAAAAAATATTGTGTAGCTTATATAGGAGATACTCTGAATAATCTCATGTGTGCAAACTAGTTTGCGAGCATTATTGTGCTGGAAACGAATCAAGACATTCCTTGTTGTCCTTCATTGAAAATTTTGTTTTGCAATCCATCGTTGGATCAAGAGTTGGCTCTGCAATGCAAGTCTGGACGCGGAGAATCTAAAGCAGCGGGGGACTGGAAGTCTTTGGGTATCTACTTTGAATAGTAGACTCCATGGCCTTCGAAACTTGAAGAGGTTTGGTGGACAATCGCACGCAAACTTTGTACCAGTCGTGAGTATCTTCGAACAAATCTTTAGTCGCCTTTGATGACATCTACCAAAGCGAAGCGCCATGAACAATAAGCATCTGTGATGTTGCTTCATGCAATGACGTGGCCAGTCCATCAGACTTGTTCCTTAATGAGAAATTGTTTCTTTTTTTAACCATTTTACTCCAAGCAAGGCAATAAAGCCACTAAGACACAATGGGTTACTGAGTGTGGGAGAATATGAGAAAAAAGAAAAACATTTTTAAGGAGAGAGAACAATAAAAGAACAAGAATTACGAAAACACAAGATAACGATTGATACTGCGTTCAAATTTTTTAAATCAGAAACCGGAAGTAAGTTCTTGCTTTAATGTGATACGCGCTTAGACGATCATGTATCTTTCGATGCATGACTGACGAGGCAGATTTTTCCCGGTTGCCATTTCTTTCTGCCGGTCTACCCTATTTACCGATAGCTGTGTGCTTTAGAAAAAAGAGGACTCCCAAAGGTATTAGAACAAGTGAATGTAAAGGATTCGACTGGAATTCGAACTCGTCTCTCCGATCCCTCAATCTGAGCCACTATCCATTACTCCACCGTGCTTATTTGCCAATTACGATCTTCAAAAAATTAAATCTAATGTCACTAATCATCGTCTGTTTCTTTGAATTATAATCTTTTATTGTCCTCTCTGTTTATTTTACTCGCTGTAACCCCTGGCTTCTTGTTTTTATGACTTTGTTCGGAATGAAATGACTAAAAAACAAGAAATCTATAACACCTAACAAACACATAGAATCAGAATAATTTAGCGCATTTAAAGGCGTGCTGATTTTTGTAAAGAAAGGTTCCACAAGAAAACTAGTACAGCAATAGTTAACAGATAAATACAAAAATCTTCGCAATCGACATTAAGTTTCACTACAAACCGCTCATCAGGTTCATATAAATTTATTAAAATCATATGTATGGATATTAAATAATCAAACACGCGGTGCAGTTCAATTTTGATTAAATTACAATTCATACAAAAAGTAGATTAGTAAAGTTAATGATATAAAATGGCGAAATCCTTTCGCTAACAAAATTTTAAAGGTGCATTAACCTATTAATCATTCGATGAATGTTATGATACTTGTTTTTTAAAATTAAAATTGCTACAACAAAAAAATTCTCAAATTGCCATATTAGTAAAAATTCATTCACTTAAATTTTTAAAAAAACCTTTGCGTTGCGACTGTATCCGTTATCAATAACACATTAAAAAAAACAAAAAACATTTCGATTCGCATTAAATTTTTTTCGTCACTGATGCTACCTGAATTTTACCAAAAACAAAATAATTTCCATGCCTGAAGATGACTGAATGTACAGTCGAAAGTACTTGCGTATTTAAGAAAGACCTTATAGAGCTTATAATTAAAAAAAAAAAAAACAAGCATCATAACATTCATCGAGTTATTGGTAGGTTAATTCATGTTTAAAATTTTGTTAGCGAAGAGATTTCACCATTTTATATAATTAACTTTACTAATTTACTTTTTGTCTGTATGATTCATTGTAATATTAAATAATGTAGATCATGAGAGATTGTGCTTATTCGTTTTCGTGTGTGACATATATCCTCATTGGGGATTTACACTAATGAATATACTTGGTTCTACATAGAGGGACAAGTGTTCTATCAATATTCGCCACTGACGCGATAAAGTCAAGAGGGCGAACGAAGGAACGAGCGTATAAATTCAAGTACAATAAATTGCACGAAACGACATTAACGTCAGGTAACTATAACTTTAAACCGCTCTGCGGCTACATTTTCTATGGCCACTTCGTACTTTATAACCTGCTAATGGGACGCAAAAAGGCCCACTAGTATAACAATTATATATACATATATATATATATATATATTTATATATATATATATATATATATATATATATATATATATGTATGTATGTATTTATTTATGCATGCTTCAGTGAATCCACTTCTTTCAAAAATGTATTTACAAATCGTTTCTCCTTTTCTTTTATCATTTTGACCTTCAATATTTTTTCCTGTCAACAAACCACTTCCACAGCCTTCCTTTCTGTTAAGACTTAGCTCACTCGGGGTCAGCCGGTCAAATTACTAACCTCTCTGGGTCATTGCCAGAGGGAACAAGAAAACTACCCCTATTTATACTCATCAAGTCGGGTACGCTTACCTTTGAGAAAATATCCATAATGTATTTCCTCAACGAATTCGGGACCACTTCCCCGAAGGAAACCACTTCTATTGTCCATGCTATAATTACGGTAGACAATAATAGAAATATTGATAAACAAACGAAGGAACATACATATATATATATATATATATATATATATATATATATATATATATATATATATATATATATATATATATATAGTTTTTCTTTGTATTTTCTACATAAAAAGCTAAAGCTACGCGTGAATAACGTTGCAGCTTCCCTTCCACCATGAGAACAACAACAATAATGATGATGAATATAATAATAATTAGATATACAATTTGAGATGAAAGGAGGGGTAAATTTTCAGACTCTAAATACAATAAGGTTTCGAAGTATTTTAACAGATCAAATTCAATTTGTATTTACA